AAATTTTGAAGTATAAAATTTGCCTGGTGAAATATTTTTACAAATGTTAACGGTGATGTACAAATAAATAGTAATATTCTGAATCTGGTGAAAATAAAATTGTAGATCTCTTCTACTCTATATCATTTCTATCAAAAATAATTCTATAAATAAGTATCATACCTAAAGACAAAGTATATAAGAAAAACTGCAAATAAAGATGGTTTATGTCTGAACAAGTCAACATTCTCACAGTAGGATGAGATATACAAATTATTACTTACTCAGGCATTCTTTCAAAGCCAAAACTTGAACATTAGCTAACTTTTTTTCTCTCTGTACAACTTGCTCCCCAGAAAAATGTGGAAGTGATAATAAGTCAAAAGGAAAGCCTAAGAAATAGAAAAAAGTCAACATTAAAGATGCCCTATGCCATTAAATTAACATTCAGTTCTTATGAAATGAGTTATGACATGATTAAAAAATAAGTCAATCACTCACCTCCCTTGATCTTCTATATTTCAAAGTAAATAATAATAATTAAGCAGCAGAAAATAAGCATACTAAATTATTTTACATTTTAAACATTGACCTGACTCTTAAATTGAGGCAATTTAGGTAAGCAGAGAAGAATTTCCTGCATCGCATTTTCTTCTACCTGCTAAGAATTCACAGACGGAATATAGCAGCTAGTCTCTAAAGATACCCTCTACCCCTCAAACAAACCGCACCTCCTGTGATCCCTCCTTGTGCAGTCCCTTCCACAATGGATCCAGGCTCATCTATGTGCTAGATGGACCCAGGATAGCCTTAGCCAAATCTCTCCTGACTTTCTTCCTGCCTATAGTACTCAGAGTAACTGTAGAATGCACTGAGAATACACTATCTTAAGATAGGGAGGAACTTCCCAGACTGCTTGGGCTTTCTTCCTCTGTGCCCTAAAAGCAAGATGTCCTCCAAAGCTTTGCCCAGTGAGTTACCTGGGCCCTCAAGTACACAACCCAGGATTGCCTGCCTCTTGGAGTCCCTCAGCTGTGGTACAAGTGGGGCACACACAGTCAAGACTCTGTCTGCCCCGGGCAGCTTTCTTGAGTCTTGGGGGACCAACTCAGTTGCATGTGTGTATTTTCTGTCACACTGGACTCAGACAAATTGGTAACCAGTACAGAGTGGACCTAAACAGTAACCCAGGATGCAGTGGGCATTTAGACTCCTATTCCTGGTTGTTGGCACAGTGATGATCTTTGCTATTCTCCACACTATGGGAGTCCTCCCTCAAGCTAATGATTATTGAACCTGCGTGGCACTATGTAACCAATGAGGTATGGTACAAGTGAAAATGAATAACTTCTGGGCTAAGACACAGAAAGCCTTGCAGATTCTTAAACCAATAGCTCTAAGGGAAGTCAGGAACCATGTAAGAAGTCAGACTAACCTGAGAACATTATATTATGAAGAAGCTCAAGCTAGCCAGGGGGAAAGGACATGTGGTGGGAAAATCAGCCCTCATCTGTTCCAGCCGTCCCAGCCCAGGCACCAAATGTGGGAGTGAAGAAGCTATCTTGGATACCAAACCTTGTGGAATCTTCAAATGACGGAAGCCCTAGCTGTATGTCATTGTGATTGTACGTGAGAACTCAAAATAGAAACATCCAGCTGAGTCCACTCAACCCACAGGACCATGAGAGAGAATAACAAATTGTTGTTTTTAAGCTAAATTTGGGATAGTTTTGTCGTGCAGCAATAGATAACCAAAACACAGAGCTTGGGAAGAAAAGAGAAAGATGGGCAATAAAATAGAACAAGAGGCTTGAGAGTAAGTAAATGAAACATGAGAAATATATTATAGAAAAATAATATGTATTTAAAGTGGAAAATACTAAAAATTTCATTTTTGTAACTGAAGGCTGGACATACTAAATTTTACTAAGAGTAATGTAAAAGGAATTAACTTTGCACTCTAAACTGTAAAAGTATGTTTTATGTTTAAAGTAAAAGGTTAATTACATTTAATGTCTAATATTTCTTCTACCTAAAACCACAAAAGTCAACCACACATCCAAACAAATATAAAATGTTTCTCCACCTAAAGTTAACACTTACTCAATTTGGCTTCTTCTGTCTTTGTTTTCATCTTTCCATGAATTAAACTGAGTACAAACGAGCCATTGATCTGGTTGGCTGAGTGAATCAATGTAGCTTTACACCTTCTATTGCTATTACCTTGTAACAAGAGATAATAGCTAGAACACTCTCCTTTCACTTCAACATCTGGAACTAAACAAAAACAGCCACCTTATTAAGTATATGAACATTCAGCACACAACATGGCAGAGGCATACATTTGACCCACAGGATATAATAGAATTTCTACGTTATTTTAAAATAAGCTGTTATTCAATACACTGAGGGCTAGTAGTTCATTTAATTGAGAAAGCTGTTAAAGCACAGAATCGTAACAAAAATGATTCTCACCAAGCATAAACTGCTTATTTTAAATTATAACTATGTGTACTCATTCATTAACTTTTGATGAGGTTATTAGAGTTCCAAGGTATTTTTCTTACATTATAAAATCAATAATGTATCAACTACTATTTCCAACTTGTATTTCTTTAAAGTGGGATAAACTGACTCCTGCAAGCACACACAACTTAATTGGTGGGAGTAGAAGTGTGTAGCTATATTTGAGAGTAGCTTTTTGCTTCTTGCAGTGGGCAGCCATAATGTGTTTTATAGAGGGAACGGAGAGCATTCATTAATCTGGCATGCCAGTTATGTGAAGGTCACTTAAGACAGCTTCTAGTATATTTTAAAAACAAATCAAGTGAGGGTTATGGTGAAGGTTGAAGAAAAACTGTGAAGCCTTTGAGATTAAAAATAGAAGTAGAATACTTTTTGTTGAAGATGGTGAATTGGACATAAGCATTTATATTCGCTATCTCCTGAAATTCCACTAAATGAGAATAAAGAGGTTTTTAAAATAGCATAAATCTACAAGGAATAATATCTGGCAGAAGAGACAACAGCAACTAAAATTTGAAAGCAGGAAAGCATATGAACAATTGGTAACAGACTTCAATCTCTCAACTGTTAAGGAAGCTGAGAAAAACAACAGAGAAAGCCCCGAAGCAACACAATTTATACTGCAAGTGTCCTTGAGAGGCTCTGGAATGGTGGTCCCAGATGGCACTGGAAGCAAAATGAAGGTAGAATAGAAAGATTGAAAGCCAGCTTGGGAAGCAGTTAGGCTTCCTGATCCCTTCTTATTCTATTCAGTAAAATGACCACCTTTCCCAGATGAGAAGACTAGAGGTTTATTCTCTCGAGCAAATAAAACAAAGTATCTCTGGTTAGGAGACATAAGACAGAGTTGAGGATTGGAGTCCTAAATTGATAATCAGTGACTCTAAGTGAATGCTTATACACTGAATATTGAAGCCCATTACCTTTCTTCTTCTGCATAACTTCCAGAATTTTAAAAGCCAGATAGCAGAATTGAAACTTTTTGGAAATATGGCCAGTCCTAGAGGAATGGCTAAAGAGTCTCGACATTGAGGGGTCACCTAATATAATATCCCACTGAGATCACCATGAAATGAAGATCACAGTCAATAAGCTTTACCTCTATACCCAAATTTTTCAATCAGCTTTCTGATACTCTCTAGTAAATGTGAGCACGCAGCCAAAAATTATGGGACCTCAAGGTCCCATATGTCTAATGTGAAAACTAGACGCTGGCTGGTTCGAAGGTAGTGAGTTATCTCAATTGATTGTTCACAGTCAGCTGCAGATCAAACTCCTTGCTCTATTCCTTCTGCCCTTCTCACTATAGCTCTTTAGTCTAAAAAAAAAAAAAAAAAAGCCAAACTACTATTCTACTCTCTGCTTTTATAAATTTAACTATTTTAAATAATACAGAGAGTAGGAGGAAACTTTTGGAGGTGATATGTTTATGGCACAGGCTATGGTGGTTTCATAGATGTATACTTATCTCCAAATTGAAGTTTTATACATTAAGTACATATAGCTTTTTGCCAATCATACCTCAATAAAGTGGTTTAAAAAATAAAATAAAGAGCATATGGGAATTAAGAAAGCAGAAATAAATACTCCAACTAAATGATTAGGAGATAAATTTCAGTAAGTCTACTGGAAAGTAGAATAAAACAACAAAGAAATGGAAAATAGGAGAGAAAGGGAGAGAGAGAAACTGAGCCAGGAGGAACCGTCCCCAAACAAGGTCAAAACTGATGCTAAAGGGAGGTTACTGAAGTAAAGATAAAGGGCGTTTATAAAGAAATGTTCAAGGAATTGTGATGCTGGGATACCTGGGTCAATCAAATGAATACTAAATCAGGAGCTGGGAAAAAGGAATTGGGAAAGTGTGAAGGGCAAAGTCAAACAAGGAATAATAATGACAGTAATACAATCTTCTTGACTATAAGGGCTACATCATGTTCAACATCATAGTCCTGTCGGTTACAGCACTTAGAACATAGTAAGTGTTCAATAAATGTTGACTGATTCGCAAAGATGGAAAAAATTATTGTAATAGCCATTTAGTATGAGCATTAATAATGAAGCATTTCTTGAAATACTCACAGAAGGACAATAATCTGGAAGTGATTGTATAAAGCTAAGGAACTGCAGAGATATAAGAGATCTCAAAGAATAAGATGTCACTACAAAATAACTAAGTACTGGAGTTGACTCTGGCCCAATCTCAGGGAATGTTTCATGTGAGTTTGTTTGACTCCTTCCCTAGCATTCCATAAACATGTTCCACTGAAAGGCCCTCCTTCCTTGACATTCTTCTTGTTCTCTTCCCACTCTAATCTTGCCTTTTCAATCTTCTTTATCAGCCCCTTCAAACCCTCATGCATTTGCCCTTGCTTCATTTCCTCGTAATCAAGTATCCTCCCTAGGCAAGCACGTTTTCTCCTGACTGATTGCACCAATCCAAATCAATACATTAGGTTAGTGAAAGTTACCTCTTTAAAAAAGTATCTATGTCTCTATTTCCCTTAAGTTTATTTTAGGGGTTATTGGGATGGCAGGGTGAGAAAGTCAGACACACTCCCCAGCAATACAAGCACAACTGGTAAAATTATCCGAAGGTTACATAGCAAAGGAAACATTCATTCAGAAATATATTCTAAGATTAGATAAAAATTGTGAGAGTCTATAGCACTTCAGCCACCACCTACTTCTTCCCTACCCACTCCCAATGCAGATGGACGGAAGTTCCAGTGCAAACAGGTATGGCCAAGATGATTCTCTCTCTTCCCTCAGCTCTCAGTCAAGGGCTACAGTACATTATGGGGAGGGGCAGGCTGCCAGCATTTCTCATCCCCTCAAATCTGAGTTGAAGAGGCTAAATTCCTGATGAGTATGATGAATTCAGGGACTCTCTTCCTTCACCTAACCCCCACTCATATGGTACAGGCTCTGCCCTGGAATAGGCAAGCTAAGAAAAGTGGGGACCCAACTGCCCTCACATCAGCTCACTCACAGGGCAGAAGTTCTACACTGGGAGTGGTAAATAAAGAAGACTGGAAGCTACCACTCTGGCCCAGCGACCAAAGTAGTAGCTCAAAGATTTTGCCCAGGGGAAGAGACTTTAAGAACATAGCCCTAAACTCTTCCTCAAGAAACTGACTTTATTTGAAATAGAGTGTGGAGAAGTTTAAGCCTAAAGGTGATCTCAAAAACAATAGAAATTTGGTAATAAGCAAATAAAAGGAAGTTGGTAGTTCACTTAGTTAATAGAAACAAGCAAAAGATCTAGTTCATGAGAGAGAAACAGGGAAAGAGACAGCTAAGAAGAGACATCCATGTGCCAGACTCAATTCAAAGACTGGCCTTGAAAGCTACTCAAATTTAACTGGATCAGCAATTTAAATGGTTGTGCAGCAATTTAGGGCCCAGGGCAATGTCAATAACAATAAAGCAATGAACTGGCAATTAGTACAGACTAACAGCTGGATGTGAGACCAAATGAAGCAGACAAGGGAAAGATCAGGGAAACAGAAAGTGACAGATAGTCCTACAAAAACCACTGTATTCCTAGAATGAATGTGGCCACACGGAAGGCCACACCCTCTGGGGACTAACAGCAAAGCCTTTAATTGTGGAATAAATAGACTTTGTTAAAATAGCCTAGCCAACTCACAAAACAAATAAACAAACAACAAAAACAAATGTACTAAAAGGGGGGATTATTAACCAGTGGCTACAATATATTACCCAAAATGTCATTTTCATCAAAAAATTGTAAGCCATGCAAAGAAACAGGAATGTGTGACACATACACAGGGGAAAAAGCAGGTGACAGAAAAATGCCTGTGAGAGGGCCCAGAAGCCAGACATAACAAAGACTTTAAAGTAAACATAAATATGTTCAAAGAACTAAAGGAAACCATGCTTAAAGAAGAAAAAAAAGGTGAATATAAATAAAGATAGATACTACAAAAACTAAATGGAAATACTGGATTAGAAAAATACAATAAACTTAAAAGGGCTAAAATCATACAAAGTACATGCTGTCATCACCATACAGTGAAATTAAAAACTAATAACAGAAAAAAGAGGAAATCCACTTTTAGATTTACACTCAAAATAATTTTAAACCTGTACATGTATATTCAGAGCAGCATTACTTATAATAGCCCAAAAGTGTCAAGAGCCCAAATGTCCATCATCTGATGTGTGAATAAATAAAATGTGGTATATCCAAACAATGGAACATTATTCAGCAATAAAAAGAATGAAGTACTGGTACATGCTACAACATGGGTGAACCTTGAAAACTTATACTAAGTGAAAGAAACTGGTCACTAAATATTGTATGATTACACATGTGAAATGTTCAGAATAATCAAATCTATACAGACTAAAACAGATTAGAGGTTACCCAGGGATAGGGGAAGGGATGGGTGGTAGGAATGGGAAGTGACTTCTAATGGGTATGGGTTTCTTTCTGGGGAGACAAAAATGTCCTAAAATTGATTGTAGTAATGGTTGCACAACTCTGTGGTTATATGAAAAACCACTGAATTATATACATTAAATAGGTAAAATGTATGGTATGTGAATTATATCTCAATAAAGCTGTTTTTAAAATTTATATTTATCTTAGGAATGTAAAGTTCTACTTACAAAAAGAAAGTTCTTTACAGTAGACAACCACACAGTATATAATAGTGTCAAATCGTCTACATTGTATAGAATTTTATATATATACATGTATATCCCAAAATGCTAAGGAAGAAAAAAACTACTGTAATTTTATTACAATGGTAACAGTTTATTTCACAGATATGAACATACTATGGGTTACAGCCTAGCTCTCAAGACAATCATGAAGTATAAAAAACAAATTCTGCAATTAGATTGCAACAAAAAACATTAATCCTGTTCATAAACAGTTTTAGAAAAAGAATTTAAAGAAAGGTTATTAGAAAGGACAAACATTTGTTACCAGTTTTACTTTAAACTAAGGTTTGCCAAAAGATACAGTGACCTCAATTCATTTACCATCTTAGCACTTTGCCAATTCAAATGATATGTGTCTCTGCAGTCTATGACATCCTTTCCACGTTTATTTTAAACCCACATCACCTTCATTAGCATCTTAATCACTGAAGCCTGTACTTACAACAATCTTATTTTTCTCAAAAGAAATATTTACTTTAAAGAACTCCCCTAACCATAATGACTGTGTAGTCATTTAAAAAATGTTGTTCCAGATTTGGCAGGAGTTAACTGAAGACTTATTAAATAACTTTTATGTAAACACCGCAGAGTAACAGATTTACAATTAGTACAGTTATTCCACTCTCACCATTCTTCTTAAAGAAATAAGAGAAAATGATTATAAAAGAAAATTTCTTTCCAGTTTCAACTGTTCTATTTATACTTATTTATCAACCACTAAGGGGATGTTTGGCTTGCATGCTCCTTCTCTACCAAAAACATACATACATTTTGGATATACTATATAGATAAAATGGAAGAAGCAGAAACTACCAAGTGTTCGCTTGTTGCACCAAATTTTACAAATAACATATAAACCACGATGAAGTCTTACATTGTTAGCAGTATTTTGTTAACAAATTAATTCTTATATAACAATAATCAAGTCATTCTATGTCAATAAGTTTCTTAGTGGTTCTTAAAATTGTACAACATTCCTTTCTTTTTAACAGTTAAACAATATGAAAACAAAATCGTACTATTCTAAAGGGGAAATATATCTCATGTAATGTAAGGGAAAATAAAAATATCCCAGGACAACTGGGGAAATGGGATATTCTGGGTAAGTCAATACTCTGACTTACCAATCAATTATTTTAATAATCATACTAAAAGTTAAACAACAAAATAAAATCTAGCCTTCAATGCAGGCATTTTAGGAGGCTATACTCTTTTCAACAATGATATCACTGTTTAATTCTAGACTCAACTTTTGAAACAGCCCTTAGTGCCAGGTGAGGAGGCACAATCAAAAATAGTCAATCTAATTACTTCATACTCATAAAGCATCTTCCAAAATGTATTACTTAGCTTGGTCCCCCAATTTATTCATCAGACTAAGCTCAGAACAATTTAGCATAAAATTTCAAGGAGTGCAATGCGCACCACCCGAAGGATGGACATATTTGAAACAAGGACTTGGAGGGGGGGGACCAAGGGCAACATACGTAACCTAAACATCTGTACCCCCATAATATGCTGAAATAAAAGAAAAAGAAAAAAAAAATTTAGCTGCCACTGAGGTTGTCCAAGAAAATGCCTATGGCTCAATTCTAAAAAAAATATAAAATGGTTTAAAAAATGGTG